AGTGTGGTGTGGAATATAGTACATTATACAGCGGCGCAAGGCAAAATACCAGCAGCTTTAGAGGAATACAACAAATTGCAGCAATAGTACACTGTAGTGTACTATTGCTGGGATTTGTAGTCCTCTGTAGCTGGCGTTATTCTGCATTGCGCTGTATAATTTATTATTGCTGGGATTTGTAGTCCTCTATAGCTGGTGGTATTCTCCATTGCGCTGTATAATGATTATACGGCGCAATGCAGAATACCACTGACCAGTTATAGAGGAACTACAAATCCCAGCAATAATACATTATACATCGCAACGGAGAATACCACCAGCTATAGAGGAACAACAAATCCCAGCAATAGTACATTATACAGGCTGCTTAATGTATTATTGCTGGGATTTGATGTTCCTCTATAACTGCTGGTGTTCTGCATTGTATTGTGCATGGTATCCTGCATTGTAGTGTAGTGTGCATGGTATTCTGCATTGTATAATACGGTGGCACAATGCAGAATGCCACCAACTAATATATATTCTGGTCAGTGGCGTAACAACCGGGGGGGGGCGCCGGCCGAAAATTGCACTTTTGGCTAAATGCCGAAAGTGTCATTTTCCTGCAGATACATCGGTGCGGTGCATCCGTGCTTTCTTTCCTCCCCGCTGGGCGCTGCTCTGTGTCCCAGCGGGGAGGAGAGAAAGTGACAGCCTGCGTGAGGAGAGCGCTGTGAGCGGCCGGTGTCTCTCCTCCCTATCACAGTCCGGCAGAGCGGTGTGGTGGTGGAGACAGGCCACCCTGTAGTGTCCTGTGCGGTGGACGTGGCTTCAGCGTCCTGGGCGCGCAGGCGCACCGTGTGACGTGCGTGCGACTCAGGCCGTGTGTGGAGCCCTGAACAGGCTAATCAATCAATAGCCGACGAATCGACGATCGAAAACGTCGACAACGTTTTCAATCGTCGATTTTAATCGACTTAATCGATTAACTGTTGCAGCTCTACTGGCCCTGATGTCTGTTTTAGGGCAGGTTCACACCACTTACAGTGCGTTCTAGCACGGTTAGCTGCTAGAATGCACTGGATCACATCCTGGCCGGCTCCCTGCGTTTTGGGGTGGAAGGGGGCATGGCAGTGCATGCAAGTCAATGGCATGCCCAAGCCTGCCCACAGTGCGTTTGCCTTCAACAGCAATGCCGGTGTTCTGGTCCAGTGCGATCGCAAAAAATAGTGCTTGTACTATTTTTTGAGATCGCACTGGACCAGAATGCAGGCATTTATGTGCTACATGTTCTGGTTTGGGTGAAAACACTGTGGACAGGGGGGCGTGGTGGTATCCGCACTCAGGAAACCGGCCAGGATGCGATCCAGTGCATTCCAGCAGGTAACCACGCTAATATGTGTGAACCTGCCCTTAGGATGCCTCCTCCCTTGCTGGATCCTATGCAGTCACCCTTGTGTGTGCTAGTAAGCTGTGTGTGTCTAGCCAAACACACAGACACAGAAAATCAAGCTACTTCCCTCCCCCTGCCCCCCTCTCCCTCTCCACCCTTCTTTAACTCTGTGCTGTCTCCTGTGAACCTCTACTGGACAGGAAGCTCAGCAAAGCTGAGCTAGGAGAGTTGTAGCCAGCTGTTCAGAAACCTAATGTGTTCAGGAACATGTTGTGAGTGTAAGTCAAAAATATAAAGAAATACTTTGCTGGGCAATGTATATTTGTTTGATCTAGATTCATTATTGAAAAAAAGTTTGAGAATTTAATACTATTTGAATGCATAGAGATTGCCAAGGACTTTTGGATAGTATGAATGTGTTGTTTGTACTCCCCCACTTTAGAAGGATAAAACTATTTACCAGTGAGCTGTGTTTCCTGATCTGAGCCACCTTAAAATCAGCGATAATCAGTGGTCATCGGTGGTTATTAGGGTCACTATGTGGAATTCTGTTCCAGTGTTGCCACCTTATGGGAAGCAGTAACATAGACCTAAGTCCAGCCAATTCTTCGATAGGAAACATCAATGGCCAGAAGGTATGCCTGAAACCAGCATAAGAACTACCCAAGTTGAACTTCATCAGGTTTAAAAATGTATGCAATACTTACCCACTGAATTTTCCCTGTTGCAGTAAAGTCTATTTTCATAAATAGCTTTTCAATCTGCTCGTCATTCTGAAATAGAAGCAATTCAACTTATACATATCAAAAAAAATACCAGTATTATGGAAACAGATGTAAAGTGCTTGCAAGTGATTGCACTAATTTTCCCGCACCCATTCTCTGCTTGACGTTTAAAAGGGGAAAATTATGCACAATATGCAGCAGGGAAATATGGGAAAAACAAAACAGATAAATATCGGCAAAATAAAAAATGGCATGTAATAAGTCAATAGCATTAAGACAACAGTTTTTATTTTTCTGAGTCCCCCTTGTGAAAGTGTATTACTTGCCAGTAGATTCATCATTTTTACTTCCTTTAACAGACCAAAGTGTCTAGTAAAACTGGCAGATAGAAGGGTTGGGACAAAAACAAATACTGTAACGCTGCCGGATCTGATTATAAGTATCATCTATTCATATGGTTTAAATATTTATACCAAAAAAACTGTTGCTGTATCTGCTAAGCATAGTGTAAAGATAATTGTTAGCTATGGTCAAGTACTGCAGCAAGAACCCTGTCTGCCACCACATATGAGAGCTGGACCAAGGTTCTGAGGTACAAGCAAACGGATCCTTGCAAACAAATATAAAATAGTAGCATTTATTAGGATATGCAATAAAAAACGATTTTTAAGACACCATACAAGGTAGCACAGGTAAGGTAAGTATATGGAAGTTGGGGGGGGGGGGGCTTTTACAGGAACACTGCCACCTTGCCCTGCATGGGTAATGTGACAGTATGCCTTTAAAGTCCTTTCCAGTCGGTCATAACACTGCTGTGCCATTTTAAGGCAGAATGAACAGTGTTGTCACCCTGTTAAAGGTAGTGGAAACATTTGTTATAGGAGGGGGCTCAGGAAAAACATGGCTGTGTTAATGGTAGTGGCAGGCTGCAGCATATATATAATTTTTTATTTTGCCCATAGTTTCACGTTAAGTAGCCTTAATGGTTCAATATATACAGCAGAATATTAACATGCAGTGGTTGTTTCTGCTTCTAAAAAACTTCCAAGAAACTAGTGGATTATGTTTTTAATATAAAATAGCAATAATAAAATTGGTATATCATTCAATGCCACTCTCTTTGTGTTTGTAGGACGGAAGGAGGTCACCTTTCTCCTGGCCCTCATTTGTCAATACATGATTCGCTGATGGGGAATTTGAGTCCTTTTCCCACTGCCATCACTCTTCTTTCCCCTATATCCATTAATACAACAAAAAAAGTTACCCAAACTTACCGTTCCTCGCAATCCTGTGCTTTTCTTCACTGCCCATTTAAATTTCTCTAGGTCCAGAGATTGATGGCCATTCTTTTCCAGCTCCTGGAACAAATCAATACTGTTTATTAAAGATAAGGGCATCACCTAATATCTAAATCCTCCAAGATGATCTAATCAGTGCTCATAGTCTCATCAAAGGAGATTTATTTTCCAGACTGTCCACATAATTACTCACGTCTTGCCAATATTCTCGATGATCTATTTGTTTCATTTTATAAATATAAGGCTATCATGTCATGGTAATTACACATGCCAGAATAACAGAAATATAATTATCACTAAAAGAACAAATCTTATTTAAATATTTTATTTTGACAGCAAGATGTATATTTAGTGTAGGATTTATTCACACTGCGCAGTTATTACACATAGCAAGTGGTGATTATTAAAGGGGATGCCGGGAAAAAAAAATCTGTTATATGATTCACATCATAGTTACATACTTTAGTTGAAAAAGACACATATCCATCAAGTTCAACCTACAGAAAAAAATAAATAAATAACCTTTATCCACTTAACCCTAAAGCTAAAGCAGATGAAGAAAAAAGCAAAAAGGCATTATAAAGCTTGGTCCAATTTACTCCAACAGAGAAAAAATAATCCTTCCTGCTCCCCTAAAAGCAACAGAATACTCCTTGGATCAATAACAGTGTTACATACAATATTTCTTATAAATATGAATAGTTATACGGTATCCTGTGCATTTAGAAACACATCCAGCCTTCATAAGATCTACAGATCTACAGATTTGGCAAGAGCTAGCTTCCTACTGTAAAGAAGCCTTTCCGTATGCAAAAGGTAAACCTATTTTTCTCCAGACAAAAAGAGTGCCCCCTTGTCATCTGAAATGACCTCAAAGTTAATAAATTTGCAAGCAATATTCAACAACCTCTTAATCCAAGACAAATGGACTCTAACTTTTAATGTGATGGGAAAAGAGAGGAAAGCGTCCTGATGTTGTTTACCAGACCCCTGGAGTTCTTTGGGTAATACCGAAAAAAGCAGTTCACCAAACAAGCATTGATCTGGATGCTGCACATTACCGGAGGGGGGAGGGTGTGGGTGCGGATGCTGCACGTTACAGGGGTGGGGGGGTGTTGTCGGTGTTTGCAGGGGGTTGCAGATGGTGAAC